CCTGGAGGATTTTCCCAATTTATGCAGTTCATCATTGAAAGTACTTTAAAAGTGATTTTTTAACATTGAATTTCTTTAAATATATTCCGAAAATATTGTCTACAAAGTTGTTTCTCTCTCCCAGCATTTTAGTGTGAAACCTCCCTTGCCCATTCCCCAGGCAGCTACGAATATCGGCTACATCAAAAGTATCCCTTGCAGCACTTGTTGCACCACTCTGCTTCTGCTCCGCTCCCCCCACTGGGTGTGTGCACATACCAAGGTGTAAATGAAAGTCAGATTTACGCAACTTGCCACGGCACGGGGGGAGCGGAAACCTCTGCACCACCTTGTACGAGTAGTGGACACTTGCCGCGGGTCAGCAGCAAGCGCTGGGGTGCTCGATGGGAGCGGAGGGGTCCTTCGGCGAGAGCATCGTCACGGGGTCTCATTTTTATGGGGAGCAGCGACATGCAAATTGTGGAGGCAACATTTTCGATCGTGTTCTAATTTACAAGCGAGTGGAACCGAAAGGAACCAAATTCAAAGCCAATCACGTCAACATTTGGCCAAGAGAAGGAGGGTTTTGGCCGGCAGGAGGGTAGGGGGTGAGCGGATTGGAGAGGAGAGGGTTCGCACAGGTTACGTGCTTGTAAATTCAAATTTGGTTGCCGTTTCGGCCAGTCGAACGTTGGGTAGGTGCGTTCTCCGGCTCTGTTGGCCAGTCGCTTGTTTTCGTGGTTCATTGAGCTGTGCTCCGTGCATAAATTAATGAAATATGAAAAGGAGTTGGTTTCTCTGGCGTTTTCTGGCTCTGGCTGTGGCTATGGCTCTGGCGTTCCTGGTCGCTGGTCGCTGGTCGCTTGTCGGTGGTTCCTGGCCACTCGATGGACCGCACACAATGTCGAACATGGTTTATTAATTCAATTTGTGCCTAAATTAACGTGTAAGTGGTTAATATTGAGTTACTGCAGCGAGACACAAAAGTGAGGAAAATACAAAATCAAGAGCAACCTCCCTGCGAAGCCTCCTTTCCGCCTGTTGCGTGTGCCACTGCCATCGCCATCGTCATGTTTTGTCATGGTTTTCGGTTTTGGGTTTGGTCTTGGTCTTGGTCTTGGTCTGGGGTTTGTGTTTGTGTTTGCGTTTGGATTGCTCCCGACATGCGTTTTTGATATGAGCATTTAGATTATTGCCACGGCGCTGCAATAAAATGCGCAGAAAACGATAGCCAGACACGGATTTCGATTCCTAATGTGGGCCACTTGAATTACGATTGCATTCGTGGCATGGACACTCGGAGGCACGGGTATTTTGCATCTGGCTTTCGAAAATGGGAATGGGAATGGGAGTGGACTTGGAACCGGGGCGAACTGATTCGAGCGGAATCGAGCCGTATTGAGTCGAAATCAATCAAATGGAACATTGACAGGTCGCTCCCGCTTAAGCCGTCGATCCACCTTATCGGCTGGCCCATGTGTCGCTGGCCCCTATCTCTGGCCCATCTGGCGGCAATTTCCATGCCAGTGTTAAGCACTCGCCTAACGCCTAACGCCTAACGCCCCCATAAGCCTTGACTAATTGGCGAGGAAATCGCTTTTCCGATAAATATTATAAAGGCCGTCAAATATTTATTTTTTGCTTTACTTCTTGCTGTTTCGGCCACGCAATCGCCGAAATTGTGACAAATTTAAAAACATTTTCCAATATTATTTATCGAGAGGTCGACGCTGCGGTACGCATGCTGCATGCGCAATTCACGCAGACAGTCGCCCTGGCTGCTACTTTTCTGTCCGTTTAGTTTGGGGGATTTGTCCAAAACGAACGCGAAATCGACAACAAGCATTTTGTCTAGCCTGCCATGTTTGATTTGGCCTCAACTTACTTTTTTTGGGGCCAGTTTTGGGGGCAGCAACACAGCAGGAAGAGGAGCGAGTGGAGGAGACGTCGGTGCGTCGGCTGGGAGCAGTGGGAGTTTGGGTCAATGGCAAGACGAGTGGGCGTACTTAATAAAAACGACTTTTAAATATGTTTAAATATTGGAATCAAGCTAAGAATTTCTCTCTCTGGAGGATGCACTAGAAACTGGTTTTGCTGGATTGATCAGCTTCAGTTTCAAAGATATCAAATTGGACGCATTCCGCCCTTTTTTAGGGGCTTTTCGTACAGGAAAACTCAATCGAATCATAATACCGAATCCAAAATAGGAATATCTACTATTGTAGATACATCCATCGATACTGCAACATGCTAGTGAGCGACAATTGTCCTTTAGATAATTATAGTAGACAATTTGTATATTCTTCGATTGGTTTGGGCGCTTTTTTGTCTACTTCAATTGGGGACATACTTGAAATGCCTTAGAATATAACAAATGAATCGGATTAAAAACGGGATTAAATGCCAAATTCGGAGAACTTTTTATTATAAATCCGTATCTCTCCTCCCCGAAAACAGTTGACAATTCTTCAGCTTGACCCAGTTGCTGGTCGCCTCCATTAGCCGCTATCAGAGGCTGCAGTCATGACGGGGCCATTAGAGTGCCACTTCCCGGGGCAACCCTGACATCTGCCAAGCCCCTGCGCACTCGGTCTGGTTAGCATTTGATTCATGGGGGGCCACCACCCGCGCCAGTCCAATCAGCGAATCATTAACAACTAATTAAATTATATAAAAGAGCCATTAATTAAGCCTTAAACTCAAGGCGGCCCAGAATAGATTTGCGGTTGCGTTTCCTTTCACTTTACAAGGAAATCCGAGGCAGACAGGCGGACTCTAGCGAGTCCACGGAGTCTACAAGCCGCAAACAAATAATGACAAGAACTTTGCACTAAACTTTTGCACTTTGACACCCAACTGTGAACCCGGGCCGGGCCTGGCCGGGCCGGGCCGGCTATCCCTCAGCGTTTGGGGCACGTTCTTGGCGGCGGCAGTTGTAAATACTTAATAACTGCATTAATAACAGCAATGACAACGACAGTGGCAGTGGCAGTGGCATGGGCGGGGGGCAGTGGCAGTGGCAGGGGCACAGTAATGTTGTAAGAACAATACTCGTAATAACACGCGCTGCAATTTGCCAGAACGGCAATAAAAACTACCGTTTTGGCCAAGTTGGCGGGGACTGCTCGGTCGGCCACATGGAATGAATGAATGTCATTAATTTGACAACAGAAACCGTTAAATCAGCAATTCAATCACCTGGTCAGAGCTTGTCGGGGGCGGGTGGAGGATTTCCCTGGACAATTGGTGCGACAGAGAAACGGTTCTTGACTCTGCCCCTCTCTCTCTCTCTCTCTCTCTCTCTATCTCTGTCTCTCTGGTTGGTGGGATTCCCGCTCTCCGTCACGGCGTGAGTCTTAAATTACCAACCTTGCCACAATTTCAATGCGCATTCGCATTCGAATTTGTTTGCAGTAATTGGCCCCAGAGTCCGCTGTGGCAGTGGATGGGTGGGAGGCGGTTCAATGCGGGGTGCGGGGTGCTGGGGCCCAGCTGTTGGTGGCTACTGAAACCGCCGCACCCACCAACAAACCCACAACGGCCGTGCACAGTGGTTCCAGGCATGAATAAAAAGGTGCATGCCGGAAATCCCACTGTTCCCTGGTAGAACTTCTACCATTATATTATCACATATACATATAGCTGAGGGGGAAGTAGTAGCCTACAAGTAATTTAAATAACTTTTTGAATTAAATGGAAAAATGTTGAATAAATATTTGAATACAAAAACAGAAGGCATATCAGATCTTGTTACGTTTTACAACCCCATGTGAGTAGTGGTTTGTCCCACTGTGCGAGGGAGTTCGCCTTTTGCCTTTCAACTTCTGCTGTGCTGTTGCTACAGGTGTCTCCGGTCTCCGGTCTCCGATCCCCGGACTCTGGTCTGAGACTCTCGCTCTGGCGTTCTCTTGGAGTCTGGCCCGTGTCAATGACAGTTCAATGTGCCCCGCGATTTGTTTCCACTGCTGCCACCGCTGCTGCTGCTGCTGCTGATGTTGGATGTTGGTGGCTTGCTTTGTTGGTCTGGCAACAGTTGTCGCACATGCAAATCGTGACTGTTGTCTATCACAGTTCTGCAGAGTTGCCAAACTTGCCAGGCAGTCAGTCAGTCAGTCAGTTTGTCAGTCGTCGGCTCTGTAATTTTTTGGTTTTGCTGGTGTTTTTTGGTAGTTGCACATGCGATTCGAGTGATTTGTTTAAGACGTTTTGATTGATTATTGCTACGAGTATGCATGCGCCAGAGCGACGACAAAACTGCGACTTCAGCACCGCCAGCGGATCCCTGCAAAGGCTTTGTTTCGGCCCAGTCATGCCCCGCGCTTATTAATTATTCTGACCCAGAAATCGTCCGAATCCGTACTCCGTTGAGTATCGGAAATCGGAGAACAGCCAGAGACAACCGAAGTCGGACAAACTCAGACAACGCCTTGGCTTGGAGCTGGCATGAATACTCGTACACTTTTGTGCTCGGCGCGCGTTTGTTGTCAGCCCCGGTTTGAAATATTTACCACCTGTGATGAATAACGTTACATTTTCGTTGATTGTTTTTTATCCGTGATTTATCGAAAAGTACCAACAACATCACAATCACCTCACCATCACCATCACCAGCACCACCGCCAGCACCACCGCCAGCAGCCGCGTCAGCGCAGAGCTGATACTCAGAGCCGATGCCATGCCCACATAATGTTGATTACTCAGGTGTCTGGAGTGCGTGTCTGGCTTGTTTGGGATCTGCTCTCCTCGGAGGAGAGGCGGAGCATGGGGGCCCGTGTACCGTTAATTAATTTGCAAGTTTTTTCCTCGTCCAACTTGATTTTTGGTGGTGTGGTGTGTGTATGTTTTAGTCGGAATTTGTGCTGCAAAGTGCGCACAGGGTGGCATTTGTCAGTCAGTTTCGAATGGGTTTATGCGGGGCACAGATCTCGCCAAGAAGTATTTATCGCTGATGAGATGATGGGATGATCAGTGATCAGTGATCGGTAATCATTCATCAAAGCAGAGACTTACATCGGTTGAGCTGTATTTTGGAAACTATTTAATCCAGTAAGAAAATATGGTTTTAGTTGGGCATTCTACTCGAACGAGTATAAGGAGTGAATTGCGAATTGCGAATGCGAATCCGTATCCGATTCCAGCGATACTTGGTTATGCAGTCGAAGTCTTTGAAATTCTTCTCTGTCGAAGCTTCGACACATCCGGAGTGGTTTTCGAGCTGGATAGCTTTGCGCCCTTTGATGGGTTCGTGGAGATCTTGGTGGTCCTGTTGGTGACTGGTGCACTCGCAATACGCGAAGATGGGGCTCGGGCTGGTGCCGGCTTGGCTACGGCCTTCGAATTGGGTTTGGCTGGGGCCTTGGACTTGTTGGCCATTTGAAAGCGCTGGATCTGTGCCCGAGGTTTTTGGGGGATCGGACTCGAAACCGCATTCCTTAGCCCTGTGCGCAGCGGCCTTTGCAAAAATTGCGATGTCTCTTGAGTGGGAATTTTGCAGACCGATCCGTGCTCCTGGGTGGTGGCCGGCAACGGCATGGCCTCCAAGCTCGTGCCCTGAGACACCATAGAGCGACTCAATGCCTCCGTCAACTGATGCGCCTCCGCGTCGGCGGCCACCATCATCGTGTTGATGCGCTCCCGCTCCTGCCGCTCCTGCATCAGGCGCTGCAGCTGGGTGGCGCGAATCCGCTCGAACTCCTGCCAGAAGTTGAAGCTTATCTCCTGCGAGTTGCGGCTAATCTCCTGTTGCAATGCCTGAGCCCTCGCCATCTCCCGGGGCAGGTCTTTCCTGGAGCTAGGCTCTGACATTGTGCTGGAACAGTGCGGACTGTTGCTGGAATTTGGAATATATCCAGTAAGGGTCTGACTTTTGTACTTGAAATGAAAGTGAACGAAAAGCCAGCCCACTACTTATTTTCTCGTTTCTTATGAATATTGGTGAGAGATCACAAGAATGAAGCAAGTGCAGAGCAATTAAATGCATTGAAGGTGAGGCACAGGTACTCAGCCGCCCCAGCCGCCCCTCACCCGCCCCGCAGCAGGCTGAAGACGTTTACAGGCAGACAAAAAGACACATAAAAGCGGGTGGGGTGGGGAGGGAGCATGACGTTTGTTGGCAGGGGAGGGAGGCAGTTTTGATCGATGTGCGTTTTCTAATTGCTGCCAACTTTCTTCTTAATTGTGGCAAGAAAAATGAGGCCCGTATCGAAATGGCATGAAAAGCACAACGAAAACAACGAAAACAACGAGAAGACATCGCATAGCTCAACGTCAGTTCAGCGGCGGTGGGGGAGAAATTGTTTTCATGTAAAGAACATTGGTGGTTCTCCCGCAGCTCTCCCGAGCCTCTTCCAAGCTCAATCAATCATGTGAACGATAGAAGCTCGGAGACTTGGCCCAATTGTTAAAGGCAAACAATAAAGCGATACGATCACCTTGGTCAATTCCATTTAGCTCACAATGAAAACAAAATTGCCAGGGTTTCGGCTTGGGGTGGGGTGTTTTGGGTATGGGTATGGGTATGGGGTATGGGTATCCGCTGTTGTTTCTGTGTTTTTTTTTTCGGGCGTAGGATATCGGAAATCTACTCTGGGCCTGGCGGACGCCCCGCTGTGCACTTGTCGAAGCCGAGAGTTCAATGCGCGGCTACCTAACAGAGCCGGGAGAGCCGATCTCGCCCAGCTCACAATTTATCCTTTATGGCTTTTGTTTCTGCAGAAGTGAAAACAAAAGATTGTCATCCGGAGAGGGTAGTAGCACGGTCAGGGAAGGGGCACGGCAGAGCAGATATATTTTGCATATTTTGCATATATGAGTATTTATGTATGTATAATGGCCATGGCCACGGCCAGTACTCGGTCATTTCATACTCTAATTGGGTGAAAGTGCTCTCTGGATTCGGATCTGGATCTGGATGTGGCCCTGGGTCTGGCCGGGCCTGGCCTGGCCTGGCCTGGCTTAGAAAGTGTGACAAGACTCTGCTCTCCCATCATCAGCGTCATGGTCATCCACATGCACATCCACATCATGGTCTTCGTCGTCCAGACCCTGTCAAATCAATATCTATGGCTATAGCTTATACCTGTAGCCCAGCTATATAACATACATCACCCGCATATATAGGCATCGTCAGCAATCAGCCGAACAACAAAAGCTCCGGCCGGCTCAGAAATATTCCCAGGCCGAGCAGAGTCGATTCGAGTCGAGTCGAGTGGAGTGGATTGGAGTCGGGCAGGAAAACTAGAACTCAAAATCATACATCACAAGCAATTACCGACTAAAATGCGGCAGAGTAAGCCTCGTACGACCAATAGTTGTTGCAACTTGCCAGCAAGACTATATAGTGAGGCAGCGACTAACCTTGGTCGCTAGTTAAAGAGGGAAAAAATCGAATAGTGGGCAGCTATTATTACTGTTGTGAATACCCTTCGAATCGGCCTTCGATCCTCCCGACTATGAACTGAAGGTTGCTGAATTAACGATTAATTTTACTGCGACTGCGACTTTACTTCCGCCTCGACAGCCCAGTCTTAGGTCATCCGTTTATCCTGACAGTTTTAACCATTTTGTATTATTCAACATAAACTTTGATATTTTCCAAAATTTTAATTTTATATAATGAAAAGAATACAAAATATATACATATATACAGAAAATATATACATATATACAGATAAAATATAGAAAATTCAATTAAAAGTAACAATAATGCTGGATAGAATATAAAGTTATTTCCTAACCCTGAGGTAAGGCCCTGGCCCTCTGCCATAGAGCATTCAATGTTCAGTATATGTCCGGGATGCTCCCCTCGTATTCCTCTGATTCAGGCTGCTTGCTGTTGTTGTGTATGCTGGCCATGCATCATCATACCATCATCCCATTATCACATACCACAAGCCAAGCTAAGGCAAGGTAAGGCAGTCCAGTCCAGTCCAGTCCAGGCCGGGCCGGTCGGGACAGAGCAGCATGGACCTGGACGAGCAGGAGGCTGGGACTGGGACTGGTACTGGGCTCCTCCTCGGCTTTGACCGACTGAGGCGGCACTTGAATGCTTGGCATGAAATAAATCGCGTGTTTATTGTGCCAGCGGCAACGGCGATGGAGATGGCAGCGGCAGCGACAGCGTCCGACGATCGCTTCAATGTTGCACATGGAAAATTGAACGCAATAGAATGCCACTAATCGATCGGGCCTGAGCCAAAGAATTGGATGCTGGATGCTCGATGCGCCCCCAGCTACAACAGCTAAAAACAGAAAAAATGAAATGTTTCAAGTTCAAATGCAAGGTGCGGACTATGGACTATGGACTATGGAGCGTGGAGCGAAGTGAACTGAAGGAGTGCCAAGACTCGTGGAGGAGAGACTGTCGAGAGACTGGCGCAAGCAATCTCGAAATAATCTAAACGATTTGGCGAAAATCACGTCGAGCATCGTCGGCATCGGCACCAGCACCGGCACCGGCACCGACTCCAGCACGGGCATTGGCATCGGCATCGGCATCCACCTGTTACGTCGAGCTCATTTTTAATGCCCCCAAAACGATGGAGAAGGAGTCTGGTAATGGCCGAAAGGAGGCAGGTCGGCATTGAGAGCAAATTGCAAAAGCCGAATTCAACGAATGCCAGCGCACAGCTTGGCATAATAATGAAGGCGCAATCAACTGGACGGCTGGCGGCGGTGGTGATCCTTCAGAATGAACCAGAATGCGAGACTCCTCGCACACAGGGAGAAAAGGGTGTCTGGGACCACCAGAAGCCATGATTGATATGCAGACGAGTGCCCTGACTAGCGATGGTTCCCCAATACGATTCCCATTTCCTCTCAGTGTACCAGAATGTTTCTGATAGGGCCAGGTGAGGGTGCATTGCGCAGATTAAAAATTATTTCTTTTTCGTCTTTTTGGTTTAGCTACCAATACAATGAATAATTTCGAGCTGCTGGCCTGGACCGGACCGGACGGGACTCCAACTCTGACTGCTATCCTGTCCGGCACAGAGTCCAGCTATGGCTCTGGGTCTGGTCTCTGCTCGTTTTGGTGTTATTCTAAACGGCTTTTAGACAAAAGCATCAGTCGGGTTGCCCAGGTTCACCTCACGCTGCCAATCAATCAATCACGGCCAAGAAGCCTAGTCATCTGAGCATCTGCCGACTCTCTTCAGAGTGTCTGCCTCCGTCCTCCCTGCACTTTAGGCCTGGTCAAGTGTAATGGTTTTGTCATGATGCAGCATTTAAGCTGCCGCCGTTGATTGATGCGGCAAGATGTGGCCACAAGTGCGGCTAGCCGAGAATTTCACACCAGCACTGCACTCCACCGAAGATCTATGGAAATTTTCTGCCTTACACTTGTCAGTCATATCTCGCACTGCTGAAGCGAATTGGAATTTCGAATGGTTACCCATTTCACTCGACCGAAAAGAAGAAATTTTGAAGAAAATTACAAGCCAGTGTTCACTGGCTGGATTCAACCTAAGCAATGATCTCTTGATGTCTGCACTAAAGACTTTTCTATTCGAAATACAGTTTAACGGATTTGTATGGTTAAATTCGTTTGTATTCATATACCCATAGGCCATTATGTTCTTTCTATCTGTATGAATGGAAGCAATGCTCTAAGATAAATTTATAGGTCAATGGAAGACTGCAAAGTCTCGGAACAGCTCCCATAGTAACTATAGCTCTGCCATCCTTTCCCGTTATTAAAGTGGTTTTTGGTGGAACTATAGTAACTATAGTTATTCCGATTCGAGCTTAATGTCCGCATTGAAAATAGTTTTATCTCGAAATTAGTTTAACTTTTTCTTTCTTTCCCAAATAATGCTCCGTTGCCCAAGACATTTGATCGATTTATCAATGTAATTAATGATTGATTTTGCTTTGATTTGGAAGCAATTTTCAAGTGAATACGAAACATTGAAATCCCCAGCCCAATGCCACCTGCGAGGCGGCGTCGGCATATCAAATCAGCAAAATCAAAACAAAATTAATTGACGACAATTGTGGCAAGCGATCAAAATGTGTGGCAACGACCAAGGCTCCAGAAAAAAAAAAAACAGCAATAAAAGCAACAGGTAATAGAGGCAATAGGCAACATAGACAGACGTCAATTGTCTAATCAACAAATTTAGTCAATAAATCGTAATTAATTAACGTTCGATTGGCAGCCAGCCACTAAAATCGGCGAAAAGCAAAAATTTTGCATTCGAATCGTTCGAATCGGAAAATTCAAATTTGAAAAGGAACCAAACCGAACAACAACCGGAGAAGTAAAGCACAAGAGCAAATCCACATTCGTGCCTTGCGACTAATTTTTATTGCCGGCAAAAATTGGCAACAGCTAATCAGTGGGGCATACGCCCCGTAATAATCCCAACAACATGCGCTCTAGCCCCAGCTCCGGCCCGAAAGGGGAGTGGCTGGCAGGTGGCCATGTTGTTGGCTAGTTGATAACATCGTTGCAATGTGTTTATTGTCCGAAAACTGACTACACAATCCACGAAAATCGAGCTCCGAATCGGAGCAACCTTTTTGTCTCTCACAGTTGCAATCAAAAGACTTAAACAACGAACTTGGATTGGAGTCGGCTTTGGATTTGGATTTTTGAAAGGCATTTGAATACCGACAGATCACAGAAGGCAACAAGTTTCAAATACAAACGGGGAAAATATTATTGAGAAAGAAAAGTCTTGGATTGCGTCCCACAAACCGCAGCCAGCAATGATAAAAAGGCGCATCACTTCCTATGAAAGGTCATTTATTTGGAACAAAGAACAAAGTACACCTTCGTTGTTCACCTACCAAAATTGGGCACGATCAAGTCCTGCCACTAATGAATTTTCTAGCATCGGCAAGGAATTTCCGTTGCCAAGCGCACATCTCTTTCCACCAATATCATCGTA